ACGATACATTCATGTCTATTTGTAGACTTGATTATAGATGGTATATATTAATTAATTTCACGAAAATATATAGTACTTTCTTCTAATTTTTATCTCTAGATATTAATGAGCAGTTCTCTTTTTTCTATAATTAAAATCGGGTTTACCAAGAAACGTCGATTATATTAATTTCTTAAAATCGATTCTTTTAATGTTTGTGTTATCCTTGATTGTAAATCGCGATGCGTATTATAATAATATTCCTACTTTTATGTTTATTTTGAATAATTGTATCATATTGAATATTTTTCATTTCAATATATTTGCTTAATGAATAAAAGAAGTAAAGAAAAAAAAGAATTTTTTACACTTTGATTATTTACCCTAATTTTGATATTAAAAAACATATTTGCGAAACGTTTTTGATTTTCTTATAGAGTCATACATTAATTTGTCACACTGTATTTGGGTCTGCATTTATCGTTTGGGTCCGCATTTTCCCATTTCTGTTTTCAAAAAGTAATTATAACAATGAATAATTTTCTATGTAATATTAAATTATTTAATGTTTTTAAGAAACGAATTTTTTAGTACAGATTTTTTTGAGTCAAATTACATTGAGACAGAAAAATATACTTGTTTTATGAGATATATTTTACATAAAATCGCGAAAATGCATGAATACAGGAAGTGATCAAGGCATTACAACAATTCCTGTATTTGCGATAATGATATAAAGAAATAATAAGATAATACTATATTAAGAAATGTATAGAAATTAAAGAAAAGGGAAATATTCGAGCAGACACTTGTTATCAAGCGGAAATGAAATTTAGGCAAAAATTATAAAAGAATCGCGCGTAAGAAAAATTTACATATGTTGCATTAATATTTATATTTGAGATAAATTCATAATGATATTATCTTATTTTAAAAGACTGAGAAAAATGAATGAAAAGTCGTTTCTAGTAAATTTTACATTTTTTCCGGTTTATTTAAACAATTGTTGATTAATGCCTGGATCTCTTAGAATAATGTAATGTTTTTTATCGCAAGCGAAAATATTATGTTATACTTAATTACGATAATTGGTACAATTTCTTATAATAGAAGATTTTTTGTCGAAACAAATAATTTGTTTCCTGAACAAGTATGTAAGAATAACTGTCTTTTTTTTTTTAAATATGTGAGCTTGATTTGAAGCGTGATTGATAAGAAGTTGCGATATAAGTAAGAAAATGGAGAGAAAGAAATGCTGAGGAGAGGGTGAGAAAGAAAGAGAGAAAGAGAGAGCATACGAAAATGAATTTTATTAATTAATAATTATAACACGATTATTGTGTATGAAGTAAAGCAATTGCGATATGTTATAAACACTTTAATATAATAGAGATGACACATTATTAAGAAAAGAAATGAGAATACCAATTTTCTCAAAAGATTCTGAAAATTATAATACGATAATAATAATTGAATATACAAAAATGGAGACAATCTATTTTACAAAGATATACATTTTTGTTCGGTTTTTTATTTTAATAATTTTTTTAGTTCTGTGGCATTAATTTTATCCTAAGGTCACTATTATTGTAAAATTAAATTGCAATATTAAATCATTAATTCGTTAATTAATGAAGAATTTTAAAAAAGGGTTACTGAAGCATTGGGATTAAAAAATTGTCTTAATATATTATCAAATTTATAAGGAATATTACAGGCGATTTTTGTTTTCAATTTTCAGCGGCTGATATGTCAGGATAAAAGAGATAATCTTCGTTATTTAACCCATTAACGGCCCATTTTTTATGAAGATTATAATAAAAATGTTTTTTTTATTAATATAATCATAGTAAAAAAGAAATGCAAATATAAATTAAAAGAAATTTTGTATCAAATAACATATGTCATTTTAATTTAAATAACTTCTAAATAATTTTAATATTAATATTTGAAATATTAAAATATAAAAATGTATAAATTATATATAT